AAGAACAAGTTATTATTTATTTTCTTTTAAAAAAAAGAAGAAAAAACTGCCTTGCCTTGGCAGTTGGCTCTTTACAGCAGTGCTTCTCGCAGCAGCCACCTCGTATGCTGAGATCTACACGCGCCATAAAGCCACGCTCTGGACGTTTACGAGGCTTATCGCAGCAGCGGAAAGTGGAAACCAATGTTTGCACGCGTTGAGCGCGTGGATTTTCCTTTGCGTGATTTTCTCTCATTTTCTTTTATCTTTTCTTTTTCTGGTAGAAAATTTGTACAATGATTGCGTCAGCCGTTGGTGCGTTTACAGAATTGCGGCTAAGACAGTGTTTGGCTATTTGCAAAAGCAGGATTTGTTTATATGACCCGTTTATTTTATTAATTTAAATTTAAAATTTGAGTTTTGTTATAGTAAAAAATTCTTAAAAATAATTATATTTAATTTTTTATTACAATAAAAAACTTTCATATAAAATTATATTTAAATTCAAATTAAAAACTCAAATCAGTGAACTAAACGGAACGTATATTGACGGCAATAACGGGATTACCATCTCTTCCTCTCTCTTTTTTTGTTGTTGTTTAATATTAAGCATTTTAACTTTAATTTTTGTTAACGCGTTTTGTAAAAGCGGCTTGCAGTCTCGCTTTCAGCAAAGGTAATTAGGATTCTTTCCGGTATAAGAAAATCCAGAGAGTAATTTATGTTTTGTTTGTTTTTTCTTTTTGTATTACTAGTTTTAAGTATGTGCTCCGCACGTGTGTCGCAATCACCTATTTATTAAAGAAATTTATTTTGATTTTAAACACAAAATAGTAGAAGGAATTAAAAAATAACTAAATAGATGTATAATTTTTGATAAAGTACATTTGAAAAAATCATATTTTAAAAAATAAATATGTTAAAATGTGTTTTTCAATCACAACATATGTTTATGTCAAACATTACATTTTAATAAATATAATCGAACATGCTAAAATCAGTATAAAAAATTAAATAGAAAACTAATTGGGGTGTACATATGAAAAAGAAAAGAATGTCAACGTCAGTGCATATTTGAGCATAATTATTTATGTAGTGATTTTTCTTAAATATAAAACATATTTAAAACAAATTAAATAGAAAATTAATTTGGGTATACATATGAGAAGGAGAAAAATGTTTGCTTAATGGTATATTGGAGAAAGAAATATTCAAATGGAGAAAAAAAAGAATAAAAAATTAGTTAAACATATGTAACCTACGATATATAGATGATTGTAAGAAATCAGTAAGAACATATTTGTAAGAATATTTTAACTGGGAAATTAGAGAAGAGAAAAATAATTCAACTAAATGGATTTGAAAATATATTAGCAAAAAGATAGAAAAATGAGAAGAAACATCAATAAAGAATAAGCATGTGTACATATAAAATAACGTCCCCTACGTGGCAGCTCTACAAGGAAAGCATATTGACTCTTTTATATAAGTAGATAAATTTTATTATTTATGATTTACACGCGTGAATGGGAGATAGATTCAGCCAAAATAAAGGAATTATCAATCGTGATAAATTTTGCTGTTTTATTATGCCAATTTTTCTAACTAATGTTTATACTCAGAATAATTTTTCTAAAGGAATTGGATCTTACAGATTAGGTCTCGTTCGTTTCACCGATTCGACTTTAGAATTTAAATTTTGTTACAGTTAAAAGCTCTCAGAAACAATCACATATAATATTTTTACTACAGTAAAAAAATTCTCATATAAAATCACATCTCAACTCGAATTAAAAACTTAAATAAACGAATTAAACGGATCCTAGGTGATCAAAGTTTAATTGAAGGACTAAAGTCGAAAAAGGAGGATAATTTGCTAATTATCTATGTCATTGTTTGATTTCATTATTATTACGATCTGTTTGACAAATGACAATCAAAGAACTATAAGGTTGCAAGCAATCAGATTTCTATAAACAGTCGGCATCTTAAGAATCAGACTCTTTTTTTTTTTTTTTTCTCTTATTGAGTGGTATTTATAAAGTGGAAAAAAGAGTGAAGGCAATAACCTTTTTTACTGCATCTCAGGATCAAGCTGGTTCATCTCACGAGCTCTATAACTCATACAGCGTTCATCTCACGACACCAATCTGGTTGCTTAAGCGAGGCGGCTCCAAGAATCCCAAAGGAAGCTTAGATACACTCTGGGAATACTTGATGACGTTTGGTTGGAGGATTCAAACCATGTGATTCGAACAATTTTTGATTTACGTGTATTTTTTGTGAGAGAAAATACTGTAACGAACCACGAATCATGATTCGAATCAGGGAACGAATCCCTCTACCAAACGGTCAATCCCCGGGCTGAGTCGTCAAGGCCTTGGGGTAGTCGGACATGCCATAAGGATGGTTAAAAAAAGAGACTTAAATCTGTTGTCTAATTCTTTATGTCATAATTAGTGTCTAACCAATCACAATGAGATATATCATTTAATATATTTAAATATCAAAATAAAAAAAGTTAGTTAAAAAGTATTTTAATTCTTAAATGATGTGACACAATCTGATTAAAAACTATTTTAGACACTGAAATTGGACATGTGATTTGAATAAAAAATGGTCTTCTCTATCTATGTGGTGCCACGTGGTTTCTGAAGTGGACATACTTGTGTGTTGTTTCGGTCTTAACATTTATGGGAGTGATTAGAGGGAGAACTTCTTAGTTTAATAAATTGTTGCTCGACATTGTACTTGAGATTTTATATTAAAATTTTGTGATCATTGTTGCTTGGGAGAGTTTATAAAGGAAAATTCGTGATCAAGTTAATAAATTTATTTCTAATATCGTAGTAAAAAAATTTAAAATTGTATTATCAATCGAGTTAGAAAAAATGTATAAGAAAAATGAGATTCTATGATAAGGTATCTTTGTCATAAGAACACAATGTAGGATTTAAATCAGACTATTATTGTATTGAATATAAGGAGAAAGTTCTTGAGAATATACTGTCACGCCCTCTTCATAAGCATTATCCAATTTAAATTATAAAGTGAAACTCAACCGTTCTAATAGTAGGATGCTTCTATTTAGTTAATAAAAGTTAGATTTTATCAACATCAAACAAATATTTAGTATGAAAGCTATCATCAAGCTGGCGAGATTATAAAGGGCACTTCTTAGTTTAATAATAAGTATTTTAAACACGTCCTATCTCAAACTTAATCATCATAATTTTGGAGAGTTTATGAGAAAAAGATATACTTAGTTTAGTTGATAAAAACTTTGAACATCATATTAACAATTTAATTTTAGAATATGGTTTTCATCTTTGATGGGGAAAGTAAATGAATGACATGTGTGGCATGGTAGGGTTAGATATTTTTAGCCTCGTGAAGGAATTCTCATGTACTCACCTAATTTAGTGCTTGAGAAATGCATATCCAGAAAAGATTGGAGTGAGATAGAAAGATTGGAGAATTTCGAAAGAGATTCAAGGTGATTACATATTGTGAAATTCTCATGATTTAGTTAGTAGGAGAGATGGATATAATTAGATAGATGAATATAAGAATGAAGAGAATTATAATAATAGTTTATGTTGAAGGAATGATGAAATAAAAGAATAGATGAATAATTTTTTTAATTATTGTACTATCTTATTTATTTATTTGTTAATGGATTGATTCTCTTAACCCGTCTTGCTCTCTCCCTCTCTCCCTTGCTCTTTTTTTTACTCTATTGAATCACAGTCCCCGTTTGATTGAAGGATTCGTTCTCTGATTCGAATCATAGTTCATGGTTTGTTATAATATTTTCTCTCACAAAAAATACACATAAATTGAAAATTGTTCTAATCTCATAGTTCTAATCTATAAACTAAACGAAAAATAACGTGAAATTTTTTTAAAACACTTACCCAAAGTTACTTGCCAAATTGGTCCAACTTGGACTATTGGTGTTTGCTATTATTATTGTGACTTTAAACTTATTTATGAGATTATTATAAGTTTGAATTATTATGCTAACTTTCTCTTCATGGGTTTTTTTTTTTAAATTTTTTTTAATGGGATTGTAGTTTTGGACGATTATGTTATAATTTTCTATAATATTTTTGTGGGATACTGGGATTGTTGTTTTGAATTATCATAACATTTTTATCGAATTTTATCATATGGAATTACAACTTTAGATCTTCAATGTTCTATAATATCATGTTTAAATAGTTTACACGTCCCTAAGTTTCAAAATAAGGTAACTAATCAGAATCCACTCAAGGGAAAAACCGCCAACTCAACCTTAAATTGGTAGGGTATATTCGGAAAAAAAAAAAAAAAAAAAAAAAAAAAAGCCCTCTCAGACTGGCCGCTTTGCATCCTAATAGTGATGATGACTGAGAGAAGGGTCATGTGGAAGAAAGTTTAGAAAAGCATAGGACTACTCTGATCCCTGCCGTAGCTGATTGCCACATCCCACACACACAAAGAAACAGCCCCAACTGGAGCCAATGAGTAAACTAGCTGTCAAACCAGATGGACCAGTCCCCAGTTTTGATATTTCAACTTTGCCCTTCTTTTTAATTTATTTATTTAAATTTTTTATTTAAATTAAGATATAATTTTATATGAGAATTTTTTATTATAATAAAAAAATTAAATATGATTATTTTTAAAATTTTTTTATTATAATAAAATTTAAATTTTAAACTCAAATTAATAAAATAAATGAGACTTAAATTTTTACTACACCCACCAAAAAAACCCCTTCTCTCTCTTCCCCCTGTGATCCCCACTGTTTTCCTCTTCCATGCATTAACCCAAAAAATAAAAAAATAAAAAAAGAAATTCACCCAATGAAAATTCAAAACCTCCCCCGAGACAAAAACCCAAAAATATTCCAAAATAGAAAACAAAAAGAAAGTAATTTAATTAATTAAGAAAAGAAAATAAATAGCAAGCTGGAATTGGACTCAAAAGAAAGAAAGAGAGAAAAAAAACTAGAAAAAGTGACCAGGTGTGGAGTAACTATAAGAGCATCTGCACCCACTTCTTCACTCTCTCTTCTCTCTCTCTCTCTCTCTCTCTCTCCTCTTAAAAGGAGCCAAAGAAAACCAAAGCAAGACCCCTTCTCTTGCTGGCTCCAACTCCAACTTCCTCAATGGAACCCCAGCCGCCGCCGCCCACGGCTGCTCCGCCGATGGCGGCGCCGGCGCAACCATCACCACCAGCACAGCAACAACAGCAACAGGCTCACCACCACCTGAGCTACGCGGACTCGGTGGACTCCTCCCCAAGGTCCCGCAACACCGACTCCTGGGACGAGCCAATCCCTCCCGGCGGCGGAAGACTCCGGCTGATGTGCAGTTACGGCGGACACATCATCCCCCGCCCTCACGACAAGTCCCTCTGCTACGTCGGCGGCGAGACCCGTATCGTCGTCGTGGATAAAAACACTTCTCTATCCGACCTCTCGGCTCGGCTCTCGAAAACCCTCCTTGGAGGAAGGTCCTTCACCCTCAAGTACCAGCTCCCCAGCGAGGACCTCGATTCTCTCATCTCCGTCACCACCGACGAAGATCTCGACAACATGATCGACGAGTACGATCGTACCGCCTCCACCGCCGCCAAGCCGTCGAGGATTCGGCTCTTCCTCTTCGCGTCGAAGCCCGAGTCTTCGCAGTCGATCGGGCCGATCCTCGACAACCCGGCCAAGTCCGAGGATTGGTTCCTCAACGCCCTAAACGGCGCTGCTGGGATGCTCAACCGAGGGTTTTCTGATTCGGCTTCTGTCGATTGCTTGCTCGGTCTTGATGACGTCGTTGCCGGCGGCAGCGGCGGCGGCGGCGGCGGCGGGAGCTTGAGTAACGTGGATTCTGGTGGTTCGAGAGAGATGGTGGAGGGGGCTTCGCAGGCGAAGAATGCGAAGCAGGATGTTCATTCGGTGCCGGATTCGCCGATGCTGGAAACGACGTCATCGTTTGGATCGACTTCTTCAACGCCGTCGCTGGCGAATTTGCCGCCGATTAGGGTTCATGTGGAGGAAGGGGTTAGGGCTGTGCAGGATCAGAAGGTGGGGATGATCGAGGACCAGTTTGCGCAGATGAGCGTCCTCGCTCAACCCGGGCTTAGGCCGGAAGAGACTGGCGGCGCCGGCGCCGGCTTTGTTATCCTGTCTTCGCCTCCGCCGATGCCCCCGGCTGCGATCATCGCCCCCGCCGTGCCTGTTAGCTCCGATTACGTTACGGCGAATCGAGATCGAGTTATCTCCGACGATGAGCGATCGGACCACGGCGTGCCTATCGGGTACCGGAAACCGCAGCCGCAGGCTCAGCCGCCTCCTCAGTCTCAGCAAAAGTCCACTGCCGTACTTGATTTGCCTTCCCCTGATTCGGTTTCGAGGTAATTATGCATTTCATTTTCTAAGATGATCAAACTTGTCTATTGTGAAGAATTGATTATATTGTCAGATTCTGAATTGGGTTTTTTTTTATTAATAATAATAATTTTTATAATTATGCAGTGATAGTAGTTTTGGAAATACAATACCTCGCCCAAAACCTGTAATTTATCATCATCAACAAGACCCCGTTGTTCAAAGCCCCACCACTACCACTAGAATTCCTTCGAACCCTGTTGTTGATCCTATAATGAACATTTCTGATCCAAACACTAGGCTTCAATTGCAACAACAACAACAACAACAACAACAACAACAACAAAATCAAGATTCTGGGTATGTCTTACAACCCCAATTTGAACCAAAACAACAACAACAACAACAACCACAAGCACAGCCACAACAATATATACACCCCGGTGCCCATTATATACACCATCATCCTGCTGGAACTGTACCCATCTCCGCATATTATCCTGTATATACTTCCCAGCAGCAACACCACCCACACCATCACCACCAGATTGATCAGCAATACCCTGTCTACTATGTGCCTGCAAGACAGCCCCAACAAGCTTACAACAATTTGTCTGTACAACAACAACAACCCAATATGAGTGAAGCTTCTACTGGCATGATCCCATCTAGCCACCCCCAAACACATCCCAACCCTGCCATGGTGCCTCCCCCTGGGGCGGCTTACAACCCCGTAAGGAATGCCCCAATGGGAAAGCCCGAAATTGCCGCGGGCGTGTACAGAACGGCAACCACAGTTGCTCCTCCGTCTTTGGTTCAGGTTCCTTCTGCTCAGCATCATCATCATCATCAGCAGCAGCAGCAGCAGCAGCAGCAGCAGTACGTTGGTTATTCTCAGATTCATCATCACCCATCTCAGTCTGTTGCTCCCGGTTCCGCAGCGAATTACGGGTATGAGTATGCTGATCCTGGTCATGCCCCCCAGATTTACTACACTCAGCCTCTTGCTCACACGATGACTTCTCAGTATCAAACCATGACTGGGACTGCTGCTGCGGTCGTGATGCCAGAGGTTTCGGGGCAGCTTCCCGCTGACAACATGAAGCAGCAGATGAGAACGTCACAGCCATTATAAGAATGAAAGAAAGAAAGAAAGAAAGAAAAAAGAAAGTAAGAAACAATTTTGAAGGAACGGTTTGTGTTTTTTCCACCTTTTTTATTTTTCTGCTTTTAGAGTCTGCATTGTTGTTGACTTGTTGGTACTGGATTGTGGTATGTATTTGTGATAGATAATAAGGGAACTCTGGTGGTCGTCTGGAACTCTTTCTTCTTCTTGTACGTCATGTTGTTGTTTATTGTCATAGGAAATGGAAGTGGTCTGAGATTATACTGTAAAAGATGAAAGAACTTTACATCTTGGTCGCATGTGCTGTTCATATACATGGGGTTACTGAATAAATGTTCTATAAGCAGCAATAGCTTCTCATTCAATGTTTTTGTTTCCAATTTTATGAAGAGGGTTCTGCAAATTGGAGAACTAGGGCCTACATGTTTGGCATGTTCATGATGATTATTCTTTAAGTTCCAAGGTTTTGCTTGGTCATAGTAGTGCACTCTTTATCTTCCCAAACAAATCATTCTATGCACCTCAGATATGACCCATTAATCTTGAACATGCACTTATTATTCTTGCTTCTACAATTGGAACCACGTCTCATTCTTACAAATCATGTTTTCCGTGCATGAAGACATATCAGCCTTGCCACCTTTAATATCCCCATTTTTGTTTTCTGAAATTCTTTTCTTACAGGAAAACATTATCTTTCAGTAGATTTCTTCTGGATTTATACACAGGTGCTGAGTCTGATCACACAAATATATATACATATATATATATATATAGTCTATCTGGATCGATTTGGATTCTTTACAATCATGGTTTCATAATATGAACTCTCACTAATATATGTCGTTATAAGGTGTACAGTTATGATTATTCTGCTACTCTTCTATTGCTGTAACTTTCTTTTACTGGGGTCGTAATGATTCCCTCCATTCTGGGGCAAGTTTTGAGGGTCCTTTTGCTATATTTTTTGACAACCTGGTTAAAAGAAGATGCAAGGGGACCACAAAAAACATATAGAAAGAGAATGAAATTGCTTGAGAAAATCGGCCTGTGACTGCAACCAAACTTTATTCTCAGTTGTTTATTAAGCAAGTGGGGTATTGTGTACTCAAATCTCGGCTTGACAAAGACTAAGGAGGGTGCTGAAGCATGATTTTTGCTTGACGCAATCTTTTTACTTTTATTTGATGTGTTCAAAGTTGGCTTGTTAAAAGGTCATTTGGTCTGAACTTGGCTGAAGCTTCTGATCATTATTCATAACTATGAAATAAACGTATTGATAATGTAAATGTATTATAAACCACTGGTGATGGTGGTATAAACCACTGTATGTTGTAAAACTGTCATTATACTTCTCATCGGCCTGTTAAATAGGGTTTGAGTTGATGTAATTTTAAACTCGCAAAATGTTAATTGACGAAAGCATGAACGATGCTTTTTTTTTTTTGTTTTTTTGTTTTTTTTGTTTTCACATGTGGTCCAAATACGTTGTTAACTAACAGTTGGACTGAAAATGTGAGGATATACTAATTAAGAAAAAAAATTAAGAACAGTACGAAATATTTAAACGAAATAGTATTTAGATTCGATTTACAAATTGTAGTAGTATATTTGGAGATTATCTGATTTAGACGAAATTCCCACTTCTAGATTCGGTTAGAAATGGTGTGAATCATTAGCCTATGCTTGACGTTAAATCTCTCTTTCTCCATTCGTTACATACGTAGGTGCCATCATGAACACAAAAAGACTTTTGCTTCTAGCAAAGAAATAAAAAAGGTGAAGACTTTTTTTGTACAACTCTTAATATTAAAGACTTGAAACAAACAAGCGTATAGACTCTTGAGACTTAAAAAAAAAAAAAAAAAAAAAAAAAGTTTCTAGCATTGGGTACAGATGATGCAAATACTGAACCAAAAAACTGCGCACTTTATTTTGTAAAATCTCGAGAACTAGAAAACTCTGGGTTGTTCTTTTACAATAAAAATTTAAATAAAGTTTGAATTCGAATTATAACTTTATTCAAGTTTATGTTCTTTTGTAAAATTTGAGTTTGAACTCGAATTTGAATTCGAGTTTGAACTCGAGTTCAAGTTTTCCCTTTAACTCAAGTTCATAAACTCGAACTCAAGTTAATGAATAATGTTTTTTTTATTCTTAAAAATGCCATAATTTTTTTTTTTAATTCTGATTGAGTTGATTTTTTTTTCTATGCATTTACAACGAAAAGACGAATAAAATCCCACCCATATACCATATTAAAATTTTTTATCGCCATTGAGTTTTTATTAAAATACTATCTAAATACAAATTTAAGTTTTTGACTCACTCAAACACAAACTCAAAAAGATTCTCAATCCAAACACAAACTCAAGTTACAACTTCAACTCAAATTATAACTCAAAATTATTACTCAAGTCACTCTAACTCAAAAATACAAAAGAACAACCCTCTATATTTTGTAAGATCTCGAGAACTAGAAAATTTTTTCTGAGGCATAACATGCAACATAAAAGATATAACTGAGGTAGAGTGAGAATTCTCTATAGTTAAGTAGGTGTATATGTAGGCAACTTTTTATTTTTCGTCGAGCGGGACACAATGTATATACATATATAGTTTAATTTATTGGGAATTTAATAAAAAAAATTTAAAAAAATTTGCATTCAAGAAAAAAGTTCAAAATCTTAGTAAGAATACGTGCTTCACTACGATTAAAAAGGACACTAATTTTTCTTGCAGAACCTGAAATCAAGATGTCCAGATAATTTTTTTTTTTAATTCAAACTTTAACGGCCATACCTACAACCTCGACGTGAATGCATCATCATTAAGCTTCACTGATTTGATGCACAAAAGAATGATAGTAACTCAGCAACAAGAGTTAATTATCAATCAAAAAAAAAAAAAAAACTTAGAAACAAGAGTTTGGTCACCTCATAAGCTAGTCAGATTCCTCAATTAGTAGTCCACAAAAGAATGATAAATCCATCGCTTCAAAATTGGATGTTATGGAAAGCAATGAAAAGATTAACACGTGTTTTAAAGTCATTTCATTGTCGTTTTCGCACGGATGCTCTCTGCTTCATGCCTCGACCCATTTTGTCCGGCAGTGTCTAATATTCAAGAGATGAACAAAATCCAATTCAGCAAATTTTTTACCTTTTTTATTGTTTTGTTTTCTTTTGATTTTTTAATTCTCTCTCTCTCTCTCTCTCCTTTTATTTATTTATTTATTTTGTCTGTCAGAGTGAATAGCTACACAGAAGTATGTCGCTACTGAACTTACTAATGGAACATTGCCAAAGGATTTAAATACTGCTGGTTTTCTCGTCTCTGTGGGCTACATGTAAACTATAGTATTATTATACAAAACCATACATTACATACCCTTTGCAATTATTGAGGGAAGAAAGTAGATTTCAGCAACCAAATGCTTCATTGAACAAATGATGAGCAATTCATTGGAACAATAAGGAAATGTCAGGAAGAGTATTTTGAGAGACAAATTTGGAAAAACCAAACTAGATAGAGATGCATACGATACTAAAAAAGACGCAAAAAATGCAAATTTTCGGGCTTATGCACACGAAAAATGATAATTATTACCGATTAAACTAATAGAAAGTATGACTTATTAGCGATGTTCATAATTAGTAGTAATAAATAGTAACACGATGAATTCAGATTTTAAAAGGGAAAAAAATCCCATGATAAAATGAAGATTAGGAAAAATGTCAAACAAAGACCTTCTAGTCCCTCAAGTTCAAATCCTTGGGGGAAAAAATTAATAAGTGAGAAAAAAATGCGTGCTTCATGCTTTAACATCTAACAAATCTTATTCTAATTGGGTTCATACAATATGAAGAAGGCCTCTTGTAAATAAATGATTTTGAATAACCTATTTGCTCACTTGTTCTAGCACAACACAAATCTTATTTTATTTGTCATGAAAAAAAAAAAGTCATATTTTTGAAAAGGAAATCAGACCCCAAATTGGCTCTCCTCTTGAATTGAATGTTGTACAAATTTCATCTCACATTTTGATATTCACTTGTTAGCTCTTACACGTCTTCTTCTTTTTGTTTTGTTATATATATTATGGTCCCCTATAGGAAAGATGATGATGAGGACCCAATTTTATATGGATTCCACGTTCAATTTTCAATAAACTGACTAGTTTCATTGTTTAGATGCCTAACGTTTAGGATTTGGTATATGATTTCTATGTCAAGCGGTGAGCAATTCGCCAAAAAGGAAGCATCTATCAAGATTATAGAATGTCTACGCCCACATTTCTCTGATGTTACACATGAATGGGACAACGCATGTCTTGGTCTTGGATTTCCTAGATCTTATTATTCCTAGGTAAGGGCACGTGTCTTGCACGTGTTAGTGAGTAGTTTAGAAAATTAAAATAGCTCACAAAACAGGTGAAAAGTCTATTCGTTTGGCCTTTATAAGAAGTGAAAATAGTTATAAAAAAAACAAGAAATAGTTTTAAAAAAAAGCTATTGTTTTTTTATCTTCATCTTGGTAATTAATAATATTTAAAAAGTGCAATGATAACTAGTACTAGATATGAAAAGTTAGACAGTTAAATCTCAAAATAAATAAATAAATAATAACACGCTAAATTGAATCTAAATCTCAAAATTTTTTTCGTTAAATAGATAAAGACCTGCAAATTTAAGCCGGGCTAAATGATTCGGCCCGAGACATGCTACTGTGGGCCCGGGCCCAGTCCTAAATCTTTTGGGTTTAAGACCGGGTTAGGCCAACCTTTTTTCCTTTAGGGCCGGACCGGCCCAAATATCATACTTTTAAAATTTTTTTGAAAATACCTTATAAAATTTTGAGCTGGTCCTAAATTATTTGGGCTTAAGATCGGGCTGGGCCGATCCTCTCTCTTCTAGGACCGGCCCGGGCCGACCATCTCTCTTCTAGGACTGGCCCGGCCCAAAATTTTCCTTTGGGCCGCTAGGTCGGGCCGGGCGGCCCAAACTTACACCTCATGGATGTTATCAAAATAAGAAATGTATTGTATCCAAAACCATTAGATGGTGATAAAAAAAACGCTTTAAAAACATAGAACCACATCCACCAAAAAAAAAAAAAAAGCAACAACACCACCACCATCGTCATAAACATAAAAGAGAAGAGACAAAATTGGCAAATCATCCACTACCTTATTTGCAAAAATCTATGCCCTTGGATGACAAAACCCAATGACCTAATAGAATATCCTTTCCCACTACACAAACATCAACTCCCTCTTTGTAGATTTTTAGGTTATGGAGAATGAGAATCAACGACGTCGTTTGCACAAACGCTACATCAACTCTTGTCAATTCCATAGCAACTGGCTGCGAATGCCATCTACTAAAAAAGGTTTATGAAAACAAATCTGTCAATGTCGCATGGCGTCTGAGCTCGCGGCCCCACCAGCGATCGCGTCCACAGAACTATGATAAATAAGTCCCAGTTTTCCTTGGCAATTTGTGTAGTCCAAATGCAAGATCCTTACATCAGCTCAATGGGGTCCATGGTGAAGAAACATAAAGCACATTGATTCAAAAAGGTTAGAATAGAGATGTCTGCGTCAAGGCACATTATTCTGAAAAGAACTCATTTTGTATGAATGAAATTAGAATTCTTGTTTTCTTATGATGTAGAGTCACAAAAGAATTGTTTGCCGACACAAACGACCGACTTGTGATTAATTTACCTTTACATCAAACACTCTCACACAATGGTCAGCTCCACAAGACGCGAGCTGTAGATTGCTGCATTCTTTGTCACTCTTCTCGGGGATCCTCCACGCCAAACGGTTTACTGCAGAAACGTGGCACATCAATGGATCGAGCCGTGCAAAAAGTGCGGCAGTTGCAGGTGGTGCTTTTGTACTTCTGTCGTTTATTCTGTTTATGAACAGATTCCACAATTCAATGAGTCCATTTTCCATTCCAACTGCTAGCAACCCATTGCTTCTGTTGTTGCCAAGGCCAATCCAAGATAGGGCCGTGACACTAGTTTTGAAAGGTGGTAACATTAAGAGCAGGTTAACTGACGATTGGTTTTCGACACCCCAGATTTTCACAGTCTTGTCTCTGGAACCTGTTGCGAATTCGTAACCATGTGGGTTCCATGAGCATGCCCATAAAATTCTCTTGTGTGCCTCTTTCCTTGCTATAAGCTCGTGACTTATTTCCTCGGTGCCTAAACAGAAAAGAAAAGAGAACCGGGTAATTTTACACTCTAATTGGGGGACCAAAAATAATAATTAAAATAATAACAACAATTATAATAGCCCAGAATACAAATAGTGAAAAGATTAAAAAGAAAATAATTAAGGGACAAATAAATGATAATAAAGATCCTATGTGGCACCAATTGAATTGGTGGTGTTACTGAAAGGTTTTGCAATTGAGCCTGAAGATGTGGTGCTGCCATGAACCCAACTTATTGTATTTTTTCACAAATTTTCTCTTTTAGTTACTCCGTATGTCACATTGATGGAAATGATAGATCTCATACATTATCTTCTTAAAGACGAAACTCATTCATATTGACAGAACTTGGCTAGATGGAACATAGATCAAGTCCTTGGAGATTTCTCATCTAAACCATTGTCCAAAACTATGGAGGAGAAAGATGCTCCATATTCACCGGTTATCAGGCTCTCGAATCTTGACAGACCCTTGTCATTCCACATTCAAATTAACTAGAGAATCATCAAAGCAGCACTAGTATCACAAGGATTTAAGAAAGTACCTGTTCCTTTGATTGCGAAAATAGAAAACTGGCGATCCCTTGAAACAGTTAAGAGTAGTTTGTCATCATGGGAGAATTCCATCTGTGTAACCGTCAAGCTGTGAGACTGCAAGCGACCAACTGCTTTCCATGAACCGACTTGCCATAGCCATACTTCTGCTACTGTTGCTGACTGGGCCTAAAAAATAAGAAATGTATGATAAGTGAGATAAATTCTTATTCCAACTACAGCACAACGTATCCTAATTGGGATTAGTTATCTTTCCTTGGTAACCCCCCATAAAAGCGTAAAAGCAGCCCAAGAAAAGTAAAGAGAGAGAGAGGGACAAACATAGTAATAAATGCAGGCCAAGAATCACTGTACTTCTTGGATTACAAAACACACGTCCCACATGGAAACATCACATCAATTTGTCAACTAAAATTTGTAAAATTCTTTCCACCTCTACCATCTTTTGCTCTTTATGTGCAAGTTAAGATGTTCTAAACTAAGAAAATTGCTCCAAGTTTGAGTCTGATTTTCCACTTACACGCATGTTGTACATCCAGGATTTCTAAGAACCATCTGTTTTAACATGAATGAGCTTAATATACCAAGAATGCAGTATGAACCGTCAGAATAGACAAAATTACTAGAAATTGTAACAAAATTTACGTGTCAAAAATGAGGAAAACAAATTAGGATTTAGGATAACTGTCAATTATGAAAGATTTTATCTTCTATTTATTAGGGATAATTATTAGGAATGTTATCTTTTAATAAGAGATTTGAATATTAATTCAAATCTTATAGCTTATCTTATTAGGGGCGTGTTCACTTCATGGGTTTAACTCAAATTGGGCCAATTAGAGTTAAAACTCTGACTCAAGTTGGCATTCGGAAAGGAGAGTTGGTTTCCAAACTCGAATTGGAACTCGAGTTAAATGCTCGAATTGGGAGTTCAACTCCCTTCTGTATTCCATTAACTCCAACCCATGGCTACAGTAAAAGGCATCTGCCACAACTCTCAGCTTTTACCTCACAACTCCTACCGTTGCTCTGCCTCCTGTCTGAGCTCCACAGACAGGTCTCCCCACCCATCATCCACAGGAGAGATTCGCTGCAATCTTTTTGAATCTGAGTCTTCCACTCTCTCACATGTTCGACTTCTATAGATTTTGAGCCAGGATCCATTTCCTCCTTACCGTTGCTTTGCCTCCTTTCCTATTCTCACCGACCGGTCTTTCCACGCGTGCGATTCCCATCATCCGCAGGAGAGATTCGCTGCAAATATCTTGAATCGAGAGTCTTTCCCTGTTTCTTTCATGCTAGAGTTCAAAATATTTACCTTCTTTTGAGCGAGGATCCCTTTCCGAGTTCATCCCAGCTTGGCCCAAAACGGAGAAAATAGCGCGACATAGAGGCTCTCACTGGACTCTGTTGGGCGTTCTTTTGGGTAGATGTAGCCGCAACCAGCGACGTCCATCTGTGCACCGTCGTCTTCATCTAAGCTTTTTTCGCAGTCGGTATCGCTGGTGGAGAAATTCCGGTAGGAATCGACATCACGATTGGGGTTTTTGTTGGACGAGCAAACACATTCATCGACTGGATCCAATTCGGTAAATCAGTTCACCCTTTACCTTTGGTTTCCATTTCATTCACCATTTTTCTGTTGAACCTGAAATAGAGGCCATCGAAAAATATTTTTTTGATTGATTCCTAGGTACCACGAAAACATGTGTCTGCTGAGAAATGCATCTCTGACATATACCACCATGTTTAATCCCTTGTTTCTGCCGATGGTCATGTTGTAGAGTGAACGGCATAAGTATAATTCACCCATGATTGATAAAAAGTAGTTTATTTTGCTTTAGTTTCTGTCATTTGACCATGTCTAATCCCTTGTTTCTGCCGATGGCCATGTTTTAGAGTGAAAGACACAAGTATAATTCATCCATGATTGATAAGAAGTAGTTAATTTGCTTTAGTTTCTGTCATTTGAGGATGTTCAACCCCTTGTTTCTGCCGATGTTACTATTTTAGGTTTAAAGACTTAACTATAACTTACCCAGGATTGCTAAGAAGTAGTTAATTTGAGAGCTTTCATTCACTTGAAGATGTTTAACCCCTTTGTTTCTGCTGCTGGTTATGTTTAGAGTGCAAGACTTAAGTACAATTCACCCATGACATTACAAATTGCATTGTTGTGCAGATGAACTCTTTCTTCTTATTGGATTTAGTACTTTGGTAGTGATATTTTTTGGCCCTATCTGTTTCGTTGTAGCGATATCCTCTTGGTGTATGGCATTTATCAGTTGCTACTGCATGTAATTAGGTTTGTTTGGATTGAATGCCATATGTTGTCGTTTGTTTTTACATTATGACCTATGCTTTTAAATCCTTGGCCTATTACTATGTGGTTTGGTAGCATAAGTGCCATCCCAGGAGGATAATGCTCCGAACAATGTGATGATACAGTTATAACCAAATCTGAGCCAATCAAACGATTATGTACTTTAATCGTCTTACTCCTTTGTTGTCAAATGCGTTGACATGCTTTGCTTTAAACATCCGTTCTTCTTTGCCATGGCATATGTCTCTTTGTTCTCGTGGTTGGTGGTCTTGGATTGTATGTATTAGATGCCGCGACGGAGTAAGGATGACGTGACCTTCTACTAGTCTGAGAAACAAAAAGTTGCGCTTTTGAAGCAACTTGCGGACTATAATAAAAACAACAGGGGCCGTCAACTTGAATCAGCGGATTGGGAACAATGGGCGAAAGATTTGTCCCCACTATTTTCATCACCTATTCCTCCAGGGCGCGTTAAAGAGGCAAAAGAACGACTGAAGAAAAAATTCAACGCGGAGCTCGCCCTCCGCACAAACACCGGACTAGGATGGGATCCAATCAAGAATACCCCAATGTGCACTGACGAGTATTGGAATGATTTCTGTGAGGTTAGTATATGACATATGTACTCCTTAATTTCCTTTGTGATATGCTTTTTTGTTCATGACATTTAACATGAAATTTAACACGATTTCTGTGAGGTTATTATTCATTTTATTATTTTACTATTATTAGGGGGCTGGGGCATTAGGCCCTGCGGGGGCCTTAGGTGCTGCGGGGGGGCTGAGGGGTTGCTGGACTTAGGCC